TTTGTGAGTGGTGCCTCTAACGCCTACTAGCAATGAGCAAGTTACTTATCTGCTTGAGTTTTCTCCACATATTCAACAAATATATATTGAGTACCTACTGTGTGCTAGAAACTGTTATAAGTACTAATGATACAGTGGCATTGCTGAAAAGATGGCAGAGAACAAATGTTATGTGTGGTATATTTTAATGATATAACAAATATATACATAATATTTGTATATCCTGGTTTCACTGGCAGTTCCCAGCTCCCACTTCTGTTTCTCTAGCACAGGGAAACTAGAAGAGCCCCCAGAACTCTCTGATTAGCCTCTATATACCATGATGTGAACAGACAAATGCCCTTAGGTTAAAAGCTAAGATGAATGTGGGGCTACCTCAACTACCATCCTTCTCTCCAGTACTGTGGCCACTGCAGTCCTCATGACTTGGTTGTTCTATTAGGTCTTAAATTTGTTGCTCTGCATATTTTATCCAATCTTTGGGTTGGATGGGGCCGTGAAAAATGAAACCGTTTAAGAGATTAGAAAGTGATCAGGGTGGTGGAAGAAAGCACTCTTTTAGATATTGTAGGTATGGAAGGCTTGTGTGAGGCACCAACGTTTGAGCCAGGATGTGAGTTATGGGAAGAAATGTGCTGTGCAGGTAGTGAGCAGAGGAAGCAAGGCATATTAACAGTTGAGATTTTATTCTCAATGAGGTGCCAACTTTAATTTAAAAATTAAAAAATCTTTAATTTTTTTTTGCACAATAGAGTACTATAATCTAATTTACTTTTCAAAAAGATCCACTGAGTGCAGTATGGAGCATGCACAGGGAGGGAGAGAGAGTCATGTCAGAAGGGTATAACTTGAGTCAAAAAACCCAGATGATCCTGGAGGTGAGAAATGAACCAGTTTCAGCTTCTAGTGATGACAAAGTAGCTTATATTAGAGCAACCCTTCTGCCAAGAACAGCTGTAAAGATTGTTTAAAATATGCAGAGCAACAAATTTAAGACCTAATAGAACAACCAAGTCATGAGGACTGCAGTGGCCACAGTACTGGAGAGAAGGATGGTAGTTGAGGTAGCCCCACATTCATCTTGGCTTTTAGCCTAAGGGCATTTGTCTGTTCACATCATCGGTATAGAGGCTAATCAGAGAGTTCTGGGGGCTCTTCTAGTTTCCCTGAGCTAGAGAAACAGAAGTGGGAGCTGGGAACTGCCAGTGAAACCAGGACTTAAAATACTGAGAGAACCGCAGACACATGTATCAGAGGTTAGACATGCAGTTTTCCCTGTGAGCTGTTTGCCAACTCTTAGCTACCTTAAGCACAGAGCAGAAGTTTCATAAACCAAGCTGAAAGCAGCAGGTAGAAGGCAAAAAAAGCTGATTAAAGATTTCACAGCCTTGTTCTGGAGAGACAGAGGTTAGAATTCAAGGCCAAACAAGTTGGCAGGGCCCTGTAAAATACTCTAGGCTTTTATTTGAGATCCCAGAAAGGCTCCACCTGGGGAGTAAGGGAAATTCAGATGAAGACCAACCCAAAAAAGGCCTAAAAGTGGTGTCCTTAAATAGTGCAAAGTGATTTTCAAGTACACTCCTTGCCTACTTGAAGAAAAATAAATCTATTCAAAGGAAAGATAGCATTAGTGCAGCTACAAATTTTTATATGCAGTGTGCAATATTGGATCAGAAACCCCACACATATCAGGAAACAAGATCAAATGACCACAACTAAGAAATATAAAAAAGACAATTGAAACAGACCTATGGGAGAAGCAGATAATGAACTTTTAAGTAATTGTAGTAGAAAATATAAATAAGGACTAGTAGTACCAGAGAACTGGAGTATATAATAAAGTGTAAATAGAAAACTATAAAATATTCATTCATACCAAACATAGAACCTACACAAAAATTGATCATTGGCTGAGTTATAATTCATCTCTGTGGATTTCAGATTGAAGTAATCTAAAGTGTGTTCTCTAACCACAATGGAATTAAGCTATAATTAATAACAAAAAGATAACAAGAAAATGCTTAGGTGAGTCAACATTGAGAAGGACTTCTGAATAACTCATGGATGAAAGAAGAAATTATACTTGAAATTGAAAAAATATGTGGAAAGTAGTAATAATGAAAATATAACATGTAAAAATTTCTGCTTAGAGGAAAATAGGTTTAAATATAGGCTCTCATGTATATGAAAGCCTAAAGGCTAAAAATCAGTGATCAAAGTTTTCGTCTGAAAAGCTATTAAAGTAATATACTGAAAAAGAAGGAAAGAAATGATGAAGAGCAAAAATTGAATTAAATGAAAAAATGTACACTAGAAGAAAATCAACTAAACAAAAATTTGGTGGTTTTAAAAAGATTAATACAGTTGATAAGCTTCTAGCAAGACTATTCATAAAGAGAAAAAGAGAGATTATAAATTAACAGTATCAGGAATAAAGAAGAGGCCAACGAACCCCATAGACCCTACAGGCATTAAAAATTCTAGAAGGATATTATGAATAACTTCATACCTATAAATTTTAAACTTTAGATGAAATGGGCAAATTCTTTGAAAAAAATCATAAAACTGACATGAAAAGGAAGAAAACATCTGAATATTCTGATATCTTCTAAAGAAGTTGAATCTATAGTTGAAATCTTCCCCTTGCAGGCCCCATTTTTAATTTATTCTTATGGATTTATAAGCATTATTTTTATTTTACAAATGAGTCTTTTGTCAGATGCATGTAATGCAGATATCTTTGCCTGCTCTGTAATTTGTCTTTTTGTTCTCTTAAATGATTACAGTTTATCCCCTGAAACAGGAGGGGAGGTAGAGTATATAGGTTTTTATTCAGTTTGGTTGGTTGGTTTGGTGGTGAGATGTTTCCTATCTTCTTGATTTGTCTAATTTTTGTTTCTTTGTAGAGATGAGTAGGGATAGTATTGTAACCTAACTCACAATTCTTGGGAAGATTAAATATCTTTTTTTAAAAGATTTATTTGAGAGAGAGAACGTGAGCAGGGGGAGGGGTAGAGAGAGAGTGAGAATCTCAAGCAGACTCCCTGATGAGCATGGGGCCCAAAGGGGGCTTGATCTTACGACCCTGAGATCCTGACCTGGGCTGGGCTGAAATCAAGAGTTGGACACTTAACTGACTGAGCCACCCAGGCACCCTGGGAACATTAAATATCCTGATATATATAAATATTTTAATGTATCTTAAAACAGGGCCAAGCATATATTAATTACAGCCTTCAGAAGTGTTGACTGCTTTTTATTTATTTATTTTTCAAAAACTTTCAGTGACAAAGAAATGAATATTTGTGTCCCTGGAGAAAAAAAAAACCTTAAGTGGTTCACCGTTATCCAACTTTGATAAAGTCTAAAATCTTAAACCTGGTTTTTCGACTTCCCCACTTCATGGCCCCTACATTTATAAGTCTGTTTATCTTCTGTTCTAGTAAAAGTTCTTTTGTTGAAAGAAAAGAAACTTAAAATTAGCACAGTGTATTATTATAATACAATAGAGAATTCCACAAACATCCAAGGACAGGAAATTAAGTGCAGCCCAGTTTTGCATGGATTGAAATTACTAAATCAGGAAGCAGGGCTTTCCCCCACATTTCTTATCTAGCAATAGCACAGTCTCCTGTGTCTAACTTTCTCTGGAGAGCAACTCTCCCAGCTTCTGCTCTGGTGAAATCTTAGCCTTTTGATTCAAGCTACTGCTACCAGCCTCCTTGTCTTTCAAAGGAAATTTCGAGAGAGAAACTTGGGATTGCTGACCAGTGGCTTGCCTCTTCCTTCCTGTTAGGTCAGCTACAACTAACTGTAGGTTCCTCAAGGCTTACTCTGCAGAAAACAATGGACTGAACACTGTGCAAGCTAAAAGGGGTTTTGAGCTTGATGGGCAAATTGACTGCCATGCTGATCACACCCATATCATTCCTTTATTTCCCAACAATACTGCTGCTTCTAGTTGGTCAGGTTTTACCACTGTCTAGATTGACTGCTTTTTGATCCTTCCTATCCGGAAGTTTGGTGAATTCATTAAGGTTGTAGACATTTCTAAAGAATGCTTTTTTTCTCCATATGGGTAGTCAACCATCATATATATTGATTAGTGTCACCTTTATTCTCAGCTGTCATTGAAGTGTTTTGATTTTCTATCTCATTAATCTTTATGGATTTTCTGGAGATTTGTGGGAGGACTGAGTGAAAATAAAAGTAATCGAATTAAAAAATTCTCATTACAAATATGACCTCTTATATTCTTTCATTCTAAACAAAGAGTCCAGGAGAAATGCTTTGGATTATTAAAAAAAAAATAACTGGCTGATCTCAACTATTGAATGATATTACCCCTTTCAAAAATAAAATTAAATTATTCACTTTAGTCAGAATTGTCTTTTTCTGTGATTTTCTGCTAGAAATTGGTTCTGAGTAATTTTGCTGTGCATTTGTTTTTTGGTTTTTTTGGTTTAATATTCAGTAATAGTTTTTAGACTGTCCTGGGTGCAAACTCAGTAATTCATGATCTGGATGCATGATAAATAATGAAATTTGGTTCATTATTAGTTATCTAAAACCTCCCTCTGGAAGGATAGGTGGGAAATTTTCTTAAGTGGTGTGCCAGTGATATTTTTTTAAAAAGAGAATGGATTCTGTTCATGTTTTATAAGGAGACTTATTTTAATTAGCATGTTGATTTGGGCATTGAGGCAGAGAGTTATGAAAAGAAGTCTCTGATCCAATATTAATAGTTATGTCCCTTCAGAGGATAGAAAGTTAGTACGATATACTCTATCCTATATCTCTGGAGAACAAAGGTATACTATATGTAATAAAAATTTACCCATTCTTACCTACTTAAATATTTTTTAGCCTTTTCATCAAATGTATATTTTGATTGAGTTCTTTACATATTAAAATGCTTATATTTTTGATGACACACTGGGCAAAATATATTTTTAACTTGTAATTATTTTTCACATTTGATTCTTTCTTCTTCCTTTTAGGGTAGAGCCTGGATCAGAGTAGCACTCATGGAAAAACATTTATCTGAATACATCTCTACAGCTCTGAGAGACTTCAAAACAACCAGGTTTAAACATCCTTTTGATTTTCAAATATGTATTTAAAACAGTCAGCTAAAGATTAGAAATAAAAATAGAACGAAGATTAATTTCCTTCTAAAGTCTTCAACTATTTTATTTCCTCTTTTTTGTACTGCTCAGGTAAATCCACTATCTTCTCAGGAAAATGCCATTCATCAGCTAAACAGACATCTACTTTGGTTTATCTTTTGAGGCTTCACATTATGTCTAGAATATCTTTTCTCTGAATCATTTCTGTTTCTTACACTTTCAATACCTGAAATTTCATTCTCTCCACAGACTTTTCCCTGACCAGTTAATTTGAAGGAAAATCTAATCATGAAATTTCTACAGCATTCTTACTCTTTCCACATTTTATTCTTTGTTTTAATTCATATATGTAACTAATGATCGCTCAATTGTCTTTTTATGGCAGGCTATACGAATGTTGTTTTTCTTAGGTTGTATACACTTAAGAGATGACCTGCTGTGCCGGGTGAAAAACAGGACTTTATTATTTTTTTACAGTGGTAGAAAAAAGATTCATATTAAGACAACAGGCATTCCTATAAAATCCTGGTCTACTAATCTCTGTTTATAGCTTTTGCTAAAGAAACTACTTTTCTCCATTTCAAAAGTATTTGTAAATGAAAATGTTCAATAATTTCAATACCTTAAACATGTACTGTTTAACACAATGGCCACTAACCACATGCCACTGTGTAAATTAATACTCATTAAGAGTAGGTAAAATTACTAAATCACTTCTTCAGTTGCCATATCACATTTCAGGTGTTCAGTAGATATGTGCAGCTAATGGCTACCAAATTGCACAGCACAGATGCATAACCTTCTGTTGGACCATACTGCCTTAGACACTTCTAAATTACCATACTGATTTCTACCTCATAAATCATGTTTGTGAAAGAGAAGACGAGAGTGACAACTATAAATCAGTTTTGATAGAGGAAATTAGGTCCATAGATAAAGAAATCATATACCTGGAAGAATCTTAATTTCCATGTCCTGATGCAATTTTTGGCATTTTGGATTTTGAGAAAATCTCGACATTTATTATGATACATTCTTTTTTTTGTTTTGTTTTTTTGTTTGTTTTATTTCCCACTTAGATATAATGGACATACTGTGTAAGTTTAAGATATACATGTTTATTTGATATGCTTATGTACTACAAAATGGTTACTGCCATATCATTAACTAACACCTCTATCATGGCACATAATTATTTGATATATAATTATTGAATTCTTTTATAGCAATATTCTTTAGGGATATTTCTAAAGATAGGCAGTGAAATAATGTTTGAGGTGAACTTCATGAAATGAAAAATTTGTTTCTTTTATTTTTCACTAGTAAATAAGTTTAATTATGAAAAATACTAAATATTAAGGATACTAAGGCTTTGAAAATAATAGTATCAAAATCTCATAGATCAAACCTCATAATCCTAAATTAATGAAATCAAAACCAAGTTTACACAGAAATCATCTCCAATAACAAGGCTGCATTAAGGTTATGGTAGTCTTCTGAGTAAAAATTAAAGCATTAATAATCTTAGTTGTTACTCTTGTTTCTTAGACAATTGGGTGGGGTAGAAATAATTCTCAAATAGATTATTTTTAGAATGAGAAGTTCAAATATTTAAAGGGAAATGCTTTTTGCCTTGTTCTGAGGTGTTAGCTGTCCTTTTTGATAAAAAGGAAATGATTCAGCTCAAAAAAGTCCATCAAGTAAAATACTTTTGTAACAATATGTAAGCATACCTTATTCAAACAGAAACATGGCTTAGGAAATGTTTATACATACATACATGCAAATATATAATGTTTATATATATACATACACACAGTACTTAAATGTGAATATAATGGCTCTAATTCCCAGGAAAGGAAGTAAGGAGTTATTTCAGAATTCTCATCTTAGAAGTTAACTGAAAAATGCAGTTGCAAAGTCTTCCTTTTTTTGTTTTAAACTATTTACACTGTTTTTTGTTTTTATTGAAATCAAACCAAAGAAACTTCTTAATTTATAAGTAAACTTGATTGTGAACCTCTAGCCCCAGCGTATCTATTATTTGGAAGATTAGATTTGTAAAATACAAGCAAACTATTGGAAAGAATAGTTACACCTTACCTTTTGTCTGGATGCTGCCTGATATAAGTGCTTGTAGAACAATGAGAAATGATCTCTGATCCTTTAGGAATCTTGAGAGTTTCTGAATCAAGTAATTTCTTCTTGTTCTACTCTTCAAAGATAAAGAGTAATGACTTTTGGTAATACAAGTGTTTACCCCAGTACAGAAGGAGGATCTACATGGGCTAAGATAGGCAAGCTTGAGAATACTAATCAGTGGAAATCCAAGGATAAGATTGGGTGGAGGAAGTATGGGGATGAGAAATACAGTAAATCCTCTGGTAGGAGTATATCACATGGCTCCAGAGTATTAGACACATTCAGGTGATTTTTTTTTTTTTCCTAAGGTGGAGGATGTCTTAGCTATTGAAAACAACCCTTGCAGAGTTTCATGGTTTAGGGATTGAGGTGTTAACTGGGAAATAGCCAGAGTTGGGAGGTTGGCAGATTTGAGATTAGAATCCAAGCTAAAAAAAAAAAAAAAAAAGAATTGTTTTGGTAGTTTACTGGGAAGACTGAGAAATAGAGAGTAAGATAAGGTAGGTAACGGAGAAACTGAATTAATTTGCTCCGAGTTTTAATTTCTCCCCACCCACAGACTGAAAAATAATTAGAAAAGTTAAGCTAAGAAGCAAAAATGTGACACTTGAAACAAGATTGAAAACATTCTGATAAGAATTTGAAGTAGCAAATATGGAAAATGTAAAGAAGAGATAAAATTAGTTTTATGGAGACCTATTTAATACTTTAAAATTGTACCACAGTACTTAATTTATAATGACAAAAGTTATGCTCAGAAGAAATATCAATTTTCTTGATATTATACAGGACTAAGAAAAGGAAGGAGTAAGTATAAAATAAAACTTCAAAAATTACTGAGCTCTCACAAAGTGAAAAAGGAGTTGATAAATACTTTTCTCACTTATAGAAAAGTAGATAGTGAACGATATAACATATCTTTCAAGAGCTAAGGACTTTTGGAATCTGAATCTGTTTAAAAGTTTTACATTATTAAGATGAAAACCATTAGTAAAAATTGCTTGTATACTGCTGCCTCATAGTATATACAAAAATTACTGAAAATGGATTGGACTTACATGGAAAACTCTTAGAAGAAAACATAAATGTAAATCTTCATGACCTTGGATTAAGAATAGTTTCCTGGAAGGGGGGTGGTGGGATGGGTTAGCCCGGTGGTGGGTATTAAAGAGGGCACGTATTGAATGGAGCACTGGGTGTTATACGCAAACAATGAATCGTGGGACAAACACTACCTCAAAAACTAATGATGTAATGTATGTGATTAACATAACATAATAAAATAAAAAAATGAATTTGTAAAAAAAGGGTTATAGTAAATGAGGTTTGTACAACATTATACTTCAGGTATAGTTTTGAGTGGAATTATTTCACATGTAGCAAGTGTTTCACTTATATTGTTTAACTTCAAAAATTATTAGTAAAACTAAAACCAAAAAAACTTCTCAAAACAATATTATATACACACATATGTAAGATCTTTAGACTTTAAGAAATCTCTAAAATTGGTTAGATTTGTGTGTGTGTTTGATATTCTTCAACAGTCCCTAAGTCAATTTTGACATTAGGAAACAAGCAGAAGTAATTTTGATCTGATTTTTAAAGAATGTACTTTTAAACATGGTGGACTCAAGATGGAGGAAAAAAAATAGAACTTTTCTTATAAAGGGGAATACTAGGAATAATGGGTGATTCCCAGTATCAAAAACCAGAATTCTTTCTAAGCCATGTGTCCCATAGAATTTGGGGATCTGGAGTCATTGTAATCATAGTTCTTCCAGGAGTCAGAATAGTCTGTCAACAGCCAATTTAGCTATTGGGACAGTGACAGAATCTCAGGTATATAGATTTATTTAAATATCTTTATCTTTTTGTTAAATATCTTAGTTAAATATATAGAAATTCCTTCCATTTATTTTATTAATCTTTGTTAGACTGGAAGTCTTTAGTTTTTCTCTTTTCTGTATAAGTCAATAAAAGCAATTCCCATATTTCCAAGGAAACAGAAAACAGCTATTCCAAGCCAGTCTTCCCACCATATTTATTTGTAGCCTTATATCTGACAGAGGGTAGAATAGTGGTCTCTTATTTTTCCCTTGTACTTTTTATTCACTTAAAATTCCTTTTGAACTATAACATAGGTTAAATTCTCTTTAAATATTTTTGTTTTATAGGAAGTGGTATGGTTTAATAGAAATATATAGAACTTAAGAAGAATTAGGTTTCTTTCTTGAGCAGTTTATCTGCATGAGCTTGGGCAAGTTGTTTTAACCTAATTCTTAACTTTTCTTGATGGTAAATTTGAAATTAATGATAGTTGTTTCCACCTTTGCCTCAGGGCTATTTGAGCAAGTATCAAATGATATGTTTGTAAAAGTATTTTTAAACTGTGAACTATGCAGAATTGGCAGTGGGATTATGAGCATATTAAAATCTTTTTTACTGAAAAGAGTAAGACAAATTTCATTTACTAAAATGTTTTCCTTCTAGTTAGTGGGGTCTTACAGAGTGGCATCTACTATCTATATCTAATATAAATAGATATAACAATTAAATGATCCCTGCTTACTGAACATAAACTAGCACAGTATTATTTTTTAAAGAAAGTAAATACAATGATCTTACATTCTTTTGTGGAAAGATACCTTTTGGCTCGTATCATGATATTTTCTCAGAATATTTTAAGTATATTAAAATAAAATTTTAGTATTTTAACAACTAATATTAACTGAAACAGAAAGCTTTATAGGAATTAACACTGATAGATTCATATTCATATTTTGTCAGAGATAATGAACACTTTCTTTTTCATACACAGTCACCCTGCTAGCCCATTAGTATTGTAGTGTTAAAGGTTAGCATGAATTACTAATGATCACATCTTTCTAGTTCTTCATTTAGTTAATGACCCTTGGAATTACAGAAAAACAATGTGCGTTTGTTTTTGTTCTATGTATACCACAGTAGTCTACATAGTTTCAAAAAGAGACCCGTATAAATGACTGTGAGTTTGCCACCTTTCAAATTACATTCATACTGCTTCACTATTAGGGAAAAATAGTAGACAGTCTTGGCCCATTGAAAGAGTCACCTTAGGGATTCTTTTTAAGAGAAGTGGAAAAACTTAAAATGATTTTTTTGTTAATGCTGGGATTTTTTTTTTTCTAAATATCTACAAGAATTGGGTGATCCGGATAGCTTTTATTTTGATAAATAAAATTTACTTCTTTCTACTTTAGCTTGATCTCTAAATAATTTCTACAGATGAAACTTCAGTCTGTTTTTAATATTTACATATTTACCCATTTAATTTTTTAGGCGATTTTATGAAGATGGAGCAATTGTCTTGGGTGAGGAAGCAAACATGCTTGCTGGCATGCTGCTTGGACTAAATGCTATTGATTTCAGGTACTTAATCTAAGTGTATTCAGTTTTTAAGTTATACAACTTCATAATAGTTTCTACCTAGGTTTTTTTTCTTGGTTTGCTAATAAGTAAAGCACACGGCTGGATATTGATATTTGATTCATGTTATTCCCTATCCAGTGACATCGGCTTTCTTAGTTTGCTCTCAGAATAGAGGCTGTCTCAGGTTAAGGAATTAACTGACATGTTTGCTCTCTAGCTTGGGCAAAACAATCCGAGATTGCATTTCCGCAGCAGAAAAATTATATACCCTGGTAGCACTGGAGGAAATTTTTGGATCTTATCTCTTAGTATTTTTAGCTCCTGCTTTAAAATAAAAAGATGCACTAAAAGTAGATTCAAAGCCAGAAAGATTTTTATTATCTCATGTATTGAAATAAAAAAGATCCTGGCATATCTTGGGTATCTTATGTTTGTATTATATATCTAGACCAGCAAAAATATTGTTAATATTTGCTTTTATTATCAACAAGATGAATTGATTTCAGACTAAGGTTATAAGTACTAAAAATGTAAGTGTAAGTTTTTCATAGATTTATAAAAGTATCTTTTTGCATTTCTTTAATCGATCCAAGATTTTACATTATTCTAAAAGTAAAAGGTTTGGGGCACCTGGGTGGCTCAGTCATTAAGCATCTGCCTTCGGCTCAGGTCATGATCCCGGGATCCTGGGATCGAGCCCCGCATCGGGCTCCCTGCTCGCGGGAAACCTGCTTCTCCCTCTCCCACTCCCCCTGCTTGTGTTCCCTCTCTCGCTGTGTCTCTCTCTGTCAAATAAATAAATAAAATCTTAAAAAAAAAAAAAAAGAAAAAGGTTTGTTTATAACAAGAACTCAAACATAAGAATGATGGAAATATTAAAAAATTTTTTTGAAAAGTATCACTTAAAAATCCAAGAATATCAACAAAATAAGTATAAACTTAAATGAAAATCTACTGTTAGATTTTGAATCAAAAAATAATGCTGCTCATTTCCACTGAGGTTACCATTTTTTAGTAAATCACTTCCTTTTCAAAATATTTTCATTTTGTCAGTATAATTTTCCTCTAAGATTTAATAAAGTATTGTTATTAGCTGAATTATTCGGAATATGAATATGATAGATGCAATATGGAGGTTGGTTTTTTTTAATCCTTCTATGTGTGTTAATTTTTCACTTGTCATGCTGCTGTGAAAGCAAATGTCTTAAAGATACATTAGTAATAGTTTTGTAAATGAAGGAAAGCTCTTATCAAGTGTGGCCACTTTTGTTCACTCCTTATTCAAGTATGAAAAAGTACGTACATACCTTTGATATTATATTAGAATGGTATTTCAACAGGCAAACTTCCCAAAGAAACCAGAAGGTGGGAGTTCATAGATGAATTTGTTTTTTAAAAGATAACCTACATCTTGTAAATGTTCTTGTTTATGTTCCTAGAAGATGTACTTTTTCTTTTAGTAATAGTAATAAAACTAAACATCTTTTTTTTATTATCCAATTGGATATACCATCATACAAAACAAAGATGACTGGATTGGGAGACCAGGAGATCTAGAGTTTCTTTACTGGCTTTATGAGACTCCCAGTATGACTTTGGGCAAATCTCAACCTTTCCCTGTTGCCATGGCCTCAAAAAGGATTGACTAAAGATTAAAAGGGATTTTTTTTTAGCATTCTTCTTAGGTCTAGGATCCACGCCCTTTCACTTACTCAGATATTTTAGAAAAACTTTCATTTTCTAATTAGACCTTTTAAGGAGTTAGTCAATGTCACATAAGAGTCTGTATGAAAATGTGAACAAGTCTTCATTTGAAAATCCTCTAGTAACATCTTAAAATCCAGTGAAGACCAAGGTAGTGTCTGATAAATAATGTTTGAACAGATTTCTCAGAAAGTTTTTCTTTTGCATGATATATTCATATTAGAGTGTATTAACTTGTGCAATCCTTTGTCATTGGTAGTGAAAGTAGAGTATCTTTATTAAGGTGTTCATTTGTAACAAGTAATGTATGAATTAAATATGAATAAAATATAAATAAAAAAATTTACCTGCAATTTGATGAAACACGTCTCTAACAAGAGATTGTTTATAACACTTAGCATCAATTTAAAAGTTTATGTATTATGTGACATATTTATTGTCTCTTGTCTTAGCTTCTGCCTCAAGGGAGAAGGATTGGATGGAAACTTTCCTGCTGTAATAGACTACACACCATATTTGAAGTTTACCCAGAGGTATTTGACATTTTGAAATATGTTATTGAAATCTTAAAGTTGAATATCATGTGTAATATATTCATCTGATTAAAACTGTTTTTATTTCAGTATCAGAAATCATTCAAAAATACAAAATCCATTTGCATTTTTAGTGTTTATGTAAATACACTTTTTGTGTAATTGTAATTCCAGCATAAATGTAGTTTTTAGAAAACAGCATGTATTTCTATTGCTATAATCATTATAATGATAACTTTAGTAGCCCTATTATAGTCCATTGAGAGTTCAAAACTGAAATCCATCATTCAGATTGTTCTCCATTTTCTTTTCATTATAAAGGAAAGAATAATGAACATTTTGTGCAAATCAATTTTCTTTTTGTTTTTACTGTGAATTTACAGTTACTCAGGCAAATACAATGAAAAATTTTATGGCCCTTAAAGTATGTCTGTGTGAAAGAGTTGTACTAATTTATCCTACTACCAGGATTGTGTGAGAGTTAAGAAATTTCCTACAATCTCATCAGCATTGAAAATTAATCAGATGAAATCTGTGGATTTTTTTATGTGCATAATTCGTTTCCTGAATAGAATGATTGTCTTTATATATTTTAAAAATGTTGTGGTAAGGCCAGAGCTGTAAGGGAAACAGAAAGAGAGAGAGTAATATATGTATATTTGTAATGTACATACACACACACACACACGCACACTGAAGATGCATTTATTGAGGACCTAATGTAAGAAAGAAACTTTCCTAACTGCCAGGGGTACATAGATTGCAAGAGTGTAGGTGCTTCGTGAAATTCTGAGAAGTATAGTCCTTGTCTCCAGGATAAGAGAAGTCACTATTGGAGAGATAGGACTGTGAAGATACTTCAGGTAGTGAGGGAGAAGTAACACAATATTATGCTACCAAGATTTCTAACTTGAGTAAATGGATTACTTGGGAAAAGGGATAATTCTAGTACATTAGATCTGTAAAAAAATTACAGCAAGAATTTTTGAACAGACATAAAATCACACTGTTTGGGATGTATTGGATTATAGGACATTTTATGAAGGTAACAAGTAGTTCAAAAATAATACTAGTAAAAAGAATAGTGATAATACTTATTGAAAGCTTTCCATATATCAGGCATTGTTCAAAGTGCTTTCCTTCCATTAACTCATTTAATCCTCAAAAGCCAGTGACATAGGCACCACTATTTTAATTTTACAAATGAAAAAACTGAAATGCAGAGCGGTTAAATAACTTGTCCATAGTCATACAGCTTTTGTGCAGAGTGTGCCACAGGCCTGGAATTACAGAGCAAGATGACAGCTGCACATTAGGGGTTTGGCCATTAACATATAGGTGCAAAGGCTATTTTTAGTGATTTAGGAAGTGACTTAAATTAAAATATAATGATAAATGTGAAATCTCATTTTTCTCTCCTACTTATATGAGTCTGTATTAATTATTACAACACTTTATAATAATGGGACTTTCTCAACTGGTCCCCTCAGAATGAATATGGTGATATATGCTCTGTGTCTCCAACTTGCTTAACCACTTTTTGTCTGAATTTTTATGCAACTTCCTCTTTCTCTGATGCACTAATCCAAACATGTATGTATAGTTTCCTCTCCTTTATATGCTGAGGGATTTCTCCTATCTTATAAAAAGAACAATAACATGGGAAGGGAAATATCAGTTCAACCTAGTCATAAGCACATTTGCATTACTGACCATGGAGATCTTCTTTTTAGAAAGATTTAAACTATCCTTATTGTCATAAAGAACCAGTATTTTAAACATTCAATTGCTTCCATGAAATATGCCTGTATTAGACAAATTTTAAAAAAGCTTTATTGGGTTTCTAATTTTAAGAAACTGTAAAAGTCTATCCCTAACAAAATTTCTGCTTTTAATTTATTTGGAAAGTAATATGTACTAATTATAGAAAAATTAGAAAATAAAGACAGGTAGATAGAAGAAAGTTTAAGTCATTCATAATCTTCATAATCTTACCTTTAAGAAGCAGCTGCTAGAAGCATTAACATTTTGATGGGTAGCTTTCTGGCATTTTCTATGCATAGATGTATTTTTTCTTTAATTAAAATGGAATCATAATGTACATGTAATACTTATTTCCCTTAATACTGTATAATGGACATTTTTGCATGTCATTAACTATCCTTTCACAGCCTCATTTCCCTAAATGAATATAATTTAATTATCTATATAACATGTTTACCCAATTATTGTTGGACCTTTAGGATGCATTCAGTTAGTTTGCTGTCACATGCACTATTGCAGTTAATAACCTTGTAACTACACCTTTTTATACAGACCATGATTATTTCTTTAAGTTAAACTCCTGGAAGTAAAATTTCTTGAATAAACCATATATATTATTTATTAAAGCTTTTGAAATATGCTGTCATATTGCCCTCCAGAGAGGCCTAGTATACTAGTTTAGTTTCTATAGGCAACATGAGAGATTGCCACCTTCCCCCCATTGCCAACTAAGTATTAAAAGTGTGGCCAGTTCTTTAAGTGAAAAATGATATCCTGTTGGGGTTTTTTCCTATTGTTTTAATTTGCATTTATCTGATTACTGGTGCCACTGAATTTTTTTTTTTTTTTTAAGATTTTATTTATTTGACAGAGAGAGAGCACAGTAGGCAGAGCGGCAGGCAGAGGGGGAGGGAGAAGCAGGCTCTCTGCTGAGCAGGGAGCTCAAGGGGGGACTCGATCCCAGAACCCCGGGATCATGACCTGAGCCGAAGGCAGCCACTTAACCAACTGAGCCACCCAGGCGCCCCGCCACTGAACTTTTTAAAAATGTTTATTAGACATTAGTCTTTTGAAATGGAGTGTTGTTACCTCTCAAAGTTAAATATATGAAATATGTTAATAGAAAACATCCTAAAATATATTTCATATTTAAAACTGGTTTTTAGTTTTAGGTTGTGTACCAGTGAGATGAAACTCAGTTTTTCTGAGTTACATCTTGATATAACTTTAAACATTTTTTCTTGAATGGATTTTAGGCCTGAAAAGTCCAGTAGCTAATTATTGTTGGTCTCTTATGACGCCTTCAGTTTTTTGCTTTTAAATATAATGTTGTCATAAGCATTCTTATAGCTAAGTCTTTGTACTTAAACAGGATTATTTCCTTAATGAGGCAAATTTCTACAAACAAAATGGCTGATTTAAAGAGACTGTTAAGTCCTGTATGTTGTTAAATTGCCCTTCTTTGACGTTCTGTCCCATACAGTCTGCCTTTCCCTTGCTTCTTGTAGGGGTAAAATAATCATTTTGCTATGGAAGACCAGTCCTTTGACCTGTACACCACATCCCATCTTCTCTCTTATGTTAAGGTCTTCACCCCAAATAGTTGTCCTCTTCCATTTATTTTCCCTCTTTTCTAGATCTTCCCACACATCACAGCATACAAGCAATGTTGTTATTTTCCCCATGTTAAAAAACAAAACAGAGACTTTCTGCATAGTCACTATGAGCTACTTTTCAGTCACCTCTCCTTTATTATAAAACTGTGTCTCCAGGTTTTGTTTTTCGTTTTTGGCTCCATTCTCCCTTGCACTATTCAAATTGAGCTTTAGTAATTACCCCTGAAAGTGCTCTTGTCAAAGTCAGCAGTGATGTCTCATTGCCAAATCCAGTGGTTAATCGTTTCCTCATCTGTCTCAACCTTTGAGCAGTTTGATACACGATTGCTCCCTTCAGCACTTCTCCAGTTTCCCTCCTGTTGGCTCCTCCTTACTTCCTGTCCCCGTTTCTCCTCACCTCCCCAACCTCTATATGTTAGACTGTTTCAGAGATTATTCCCAAATAATCTTTTCTATGTGTAGTCACTCTCTAAGTAGTTTGATCCAGTTTTATGGTTCTAAATATTATCTTTATGCTACTCTTTCCCAAATGTATACTTCTACCTGGAACACTGCCCTAAGCTCTAGACTTCTACATCTAGCTGCCAACTTGCCATCTCCACTTGAATGTGTGATAAGCACCTCGAATGAGCATGTACGAAGTTGAACTCCTAATTTCTCTCCTCACAACTTTTCTTCCTTTAGCCTTTCCCATTCCAAGAATTGTAGTTCTGTCATTCTGGCTGCTTATGCTCAAAACTTTGATATCATCATTGAATTTTCTCTGCCATAATCCACATAGGATCCATCAGCAAACGCTTTGGCACCATCACTTTTACCTCCTTAAATTAAGATCCGTTATTTCTTCTTTGTCTATCTTTGTTAAAAATAAATGCTTAATTATTAGAAGTGAAGGAATAAAGAAGGTGAGTGATTATAATTCTTACTTTCTTATCAACAATTATAAATAATAAAGCATTAAAGATTTTTGGTAAAAGTAAATGATTTTTCCTTTTATATCACTGATATTTCCTTCATTGTCTCAGTAAAAATTCTAAAAATTTTTCTCTTTAAAATATAGGAATGTTTCTGAAATTCTTGTGTCATTTTCCCACCAAAAATGTTTGCAGAATTTCTATGTCTTTTAGAATAAGAGATACTTTTATGAGTATCAACTTTTATAATTGTGCATAGGATAAAATAAGTCTTAGCAACACATATAGACCATTCATGACCTGGCATCAGTTTACCTTCTTAGCCATATTATTTGTCTACCATCCATTCAGCTTTTTTGAACAGCTATAGGATTGTTGGTCATTGAAATGTTCAGAGGCAATGTAATATTGTTTAAAAACTTTGTAATGTAATACCAGTTTCCCTTACTAGGGTGAGCTTGAGCAAACTAATTATCTCTTACTCTTAGTATCTTCCTTTGTTGGATGAATCTATTAAGTAGTAGACCAACAATTCATGGGGTTATCATGAGGATTAATGAGATAATGTATATGAAGTGTTTATATAGTTTCTTGGAGTCACTGTGGAAAAGTATTTATTTTCTTTCTTGTCCTTTCAAGAAACTTATTATCACAGTCTTCCCTTTCTACTCTTTGAAGTTTTAAAAAATTACTAACTTAATTTCAT